TGTATGTTAATGTATATATATAGTGTATGTATATGTATTTATATTAATGTATAGGTTATATGTAATTTATTATGGTTAGTATAATGTAAAGGTACTATGTATGTATGAGTGTATAATATGTGGTAGTATATATTATTGTATGGTATGTTGTTCTTATGATATAGTGTATGTTGTATTGTATATATGTATATATATATGTATGTATATTTGTTATATGATAGTTAATATTTATATGTATATATGTAATATATATATATTGTATTTATATTGTATATGTGTAGTATGATATATGTATATGTATATGTGTATATATATGTATATATTTGTATATGTATACATATATATATGTATTTATATGTATATTATATTATGTATATGTTATATATTATACATATATATATATATACACATATAGTATATATGTATTTATATTTATATGTGTATATATATTAGTATATGTATTTTATAATGTATATATATGATTATAGTATATATGTATATTATTTATATATATGTTATATGTTATAGTATATATATAATATATATATATATGTATTTATGTATATATATATATGTATATATATATGTGTATATATATGTATGTATATGTATATATGTATGTATATATTTGTATGTATATGTATTATGATGTATATATATATGTAGGTATTTGATTCTTGAAATTTCTCCAACAGCAACAAGTTGAACGTCGCAATGGATGGATCAATGTTGGAGACCTTCATGGGGCAGTTCACTTCAAGATCGTCAAATATGAGCGCATCAAGTTCCTGTCATAGCCTTACGTGACTCTATTGAAATGCATGGGCTCCTAAACCTTATCACAAATTTTATGGCATTTAAGGTGAGTAAGGCATGGATTTGATTGTTCAAGATTATTATGTTTGTGTATCTCAACTGATTTGCCCTTTATAGCTGATGGTCAGGTGGATGCCACCCTAGCAAATTGATTTATAAAATCAGATTTATTATGATGTGCAGTGTATATAAGGAGGTTCAAGTATTTTTCACTTTTTTCCTTTCCACCATTGACATAGATGTTATTCATTGATAGAATTGAAAGCAGTAAAAACCAGCTATATAACTGTGTCTGTGTGTTTAATTATATAGGTATATTTGCTTTTTTACACTGGTCATACCTCTTCATGCTTAACACTTTTCCAACTCTCCTCTTCTTCTTTCTTTATACTGACCCTTGAAATACACCTCCTTTTCCTTGCAGAGTTTCGGAGAGTTGGTCCAAAAGCCTTGCCTCGTAGATCTGACGGTGGAGGAAGGATCCCGACTCAAAGTGGTATATGGCTCTAACCAAGGATTCCATGCTGTTGATGTTGACTCTGGACAAGTTTATGATATATATATCCCAAAACATGTAAGGATTGGAAGTTTAGGTTATAGTTCTTTTTCCTGCCTTTGTTAATTGTACTTCATTTTAAAGAATTATATTTTTATTTAGTTTTATTTTGTGTTTCTGTAGTAATAGCAGTAGTAGTTTAGTAATGACAGAAATGTTTGTAGACATATGTAAATGCATTTTAGGTAGTTCTTAGGATTTATGGGTAAACTATTAGAATGACATTGGATTTCAGTATATTCTTTTCTCTCTTACAGATCCAAGGCAGTATCACACCACACACGATAGTAACATTACCAAATAGTAATGGTCTACAACTACTTATCTGCTATGACAATGAAGGAGTTTATGTAAACACATATGGAAAGGTATTTGTCTCAATCCTCATGCATTTTATGCAATTTTATCCCCCTCCTCTCCATCCCCTGTTTCCAAAATTATATCTTTTATGTTTGTTTCTTCTCTTCTCTCTCTTCAGTTTCTTGTACTTTCATGACTTCTCAAATCGTATAAGACATATAATCTCACCCATAACAAAAGTCACGTGAGCATCCTTCCAACTTTCGACAGCTTTGCCATGACAGTGTTTTTTTTTTTTTTTTTTTTTTTTTTTTTTTTTTTTTTTTTTTTATCAGACTTGTTCATGGCATGTACAACCCTTGTGTGTGTCTGTATTTTTGTCCTTTTCTAAGGTTTACATTTGTTATTTGATAAAATGTATCAAGATAGTTTTCCATGGAATACTCAGTATTGTCTCTCTTGGTAGTTTATACTTCTGTACAAATACAATAACAAAAAGTAATCTTTTATTATTTGCATAATTTTTTTATATTTTAAATATTTATCTCTTAACACCCTAGTGTTCTCCCAGAAGTAGATGGGGTTTCAGCCATTGCTTATGGATAGGACATTCCACCCTCTTTTAACTGGGTAAATGATCTAAAAGCCCTTTCTAAATGCCCACTGAGTTGCATCTTCCTCCAGAGCTTGTGCACTTTTGGCGAATTATTCCCAACACCCTGGCCTTCAGCCAAATTTTTCATGACCATATATTCCTATCTCCTTGGCTCTCGGCCAAATTTTTCCATAATGGCCTGTTCCTGTCACCTAACCCTCGGCCTATTTTTTCATGATGTGAAAATCTAAGGGGTTAAGAGATACTAAATTCACCTCATACTTTGATGAAACTAACAATGCATAAGTCATAGAATGTGCCAAAAGCATTGCCTGTTACAAGCAAATTTTCATGAACCAAACCTAAACATTCATTGTAGTCCACCTTTTTGCCAGTTTGGTTTAAAAGACACTATATAGATATGTATGTTAACATTCAGGCCAAATCATAGTTTGTGCATAATAAATACTGGTCATAGATTGTAATTTTTTAGACAGTTTACTACCACATTATTCCTTTTGATCCCCAGTCTTATGGCAACACAGCAGTAGGGCCTTTTTCATTGTTTGTGTTGGCTTCATGTATGAAACAAAAAAACAATCTTTAAGGTTTTTAAGTGGTTTTTATAAAGATTTGTGTGGAGGAAGGCAATAAAATTACCATTGCTATACCCTACTTTTTCCTTTTTTTTTAAACAATAGGTTTAGAAAATATAATATCAGTTTTATAAAATGAAATGTTGATTTCAAGATCTCTATTAGTTGGAAAAAGGTGAAGGCTCCAGAAAAATGGAAATAAAGTAATATGGTCACCATAGTCAAAAAATTATCTGGTTTACAATAAATCCTTACCTGTATCCTCCTAAAAAGTGTATCAGGATTTGTAATGAGTCTTCAGGTTGGCCCAGATGATAAGGGAGACCATATATTTCCAACAGTTTCTTTGGAAATCTTTTAACATTAACCCCTCCATATCTGTACTCTAACTGAAGGCGAGAGGTCCTGCAAGTCTAACATGGTATTTAGAGCACTGAAAGGATTAAGCAAATGAAATATTTAACTTACTCCTAGGACCATCCTTGAGGAGTCAATGATTTTTTATTACTTTTTTTATTATTATTAACCTGTTGGATCCAGTTGCGTCACAGAAATCATGGTGCCGAATATACAGCTGTGCCTCCCGTTTGCAAAGTTATTTTGTGTAAACTTTTATTAGCTCTTTGCTATTATCCAATGTGTCTTTTAATATGCTTTATCCAGATCGTAATACCTTATTTTCCTTGCACAGAATCCATATCATCTCTCTTTGTAGTAAATAACTCACTGCTGAAAAAAAGAACATTTGGTTATTTGTATCCCATTTTTTCATAATTTTCAAATTTTTGTAATACAACCTGCGCCACCACCACAGCGGCCAGAAATACGGTACACAGCATGGAAATTGTGCTCTTCTAGTCATGGCTTACTCACCTTGTATTCCTCATCCGTTTACCGATGGGAATATTGCTGCCCAAAGTGCCAAAAGTCAAATCACACTCCAAGAGGTTTGTGCACTTCTGGCAACTCTTTTCTATCCTCCTGACCCTCGATCATGACAGCAAGTTCACGTCGCCAGGTCCGCAGCCATATTGTCTGCCTGTTTCACCCCGGCCCTCAACCCAGATTTTTCCATGATGGGACCGTAACCTCATCCGGATCATAGGGTTAAGATTGAAGGATGGGTAACTTAAATGGAGAAACATAGATTTACATGATTTTTTAATCAATGAATTTAGCAAAAGTTTAGGTGAGCCAACAATTAGGTTTGATGAGATTAGATGTACATCAAAAGCTTTAAACAGCAGACAAAATCATTACACCTTTTTTACCAACTCATTTTTCATTGTCTCAACATGGATTTTCTTTTTGTTAAATATTCATCAACATGTGGAGTAATGAAAACATTGAATATCAAATAACACATTCATTTTAAATTCTTTCTTAATTGCATTTCTCTTGTTCTCATCCATTCTTATTTCATTTACATATTTTTGTTAAACAGTAGTAATTCCAGGGCTTTCTCCAAGATAACTCACCAGTTACCATTCCACACAGGTAACAAAGAACATGATGCTGCAATGGGGTGAAATGCCAACGTCTGTAGCCTTCATTGGCACAGGCCAGATCATGGGCTGGGGTAACAAGGCTATTGAAATCCGGTCAGTGGAGACTGGACATCTTGACGGAGTCTTCATGCACAAGAAGGCACAGAAGCTGAAGTTCCTCTGTGAGCGTAACGATAAGGTAAGACTATCTATGTATGTATGGGATATGTATGTGTATAATGTGTAATTAGTCCTGTTTTTGTTTTTGTTTTTTCTTTCTTGAAAAAATAAGAAATTGATTTTGTGGTATATTTCTTTCTTGGCTTTATTTGAAGAAGGATCTTGGTCATTCAAAATGTTACAATTTGTTATCTGTTTGATATTGGGGATTATCTGATTTCCCTCTTTTTTAGTCGTTCATTTAATTTATAAATAACTTTCTCAAAACAAAGAGAACTCATTGCATCATGTAATCCACAGGTATTCTTCTCATCAGCAAAGGGAGGATCGTCGTGCCAAATTTACTTTATGACGCTCAACAAACCTGGCATGGCAAACTGGTAGATGAGTTACCAGTGTGTAATATAGATAGCTGGTAACCCATCACCAAAGGGAATGTCTTCCTTGGTTACATTAGTATTTCAGGATCCAAGGAACAAACTGCCATGGCTGTATGTTAGATTGCCACCAGTAGAACAGGTGCTCATTCAGTCAATACAGCTGAATGATTTCTGTCTTCAAGTAGGAAAAGAAAAAAATGAATAAATATATAAAAAAGGCACTTAGGAATGTGAGAGACAGAGAGAGGGAGAGAGAAAGAGAGAGAGAGTGAGAAAGGTTTGAGTTGGCATGAAAAATCCCATCCTAGACATAGTAAATTGGCCCTGTAAGGCTATATGCAATGCCTAGAATGCATAACCAACTCCAGCCACCATTTATAACTCCTCTTGCTGTGGTTTCCAGCACGGGAAAGCTTCTTGTGCATTATGGTTGGGCTGATGAGTGTTGTAGTAACATGAACTCTTTCTTTTTATTTTTTGTTTGTTTGTTTCCTGTTTTTACTTATTTTTCATTTTTGTACTTTTTTCATTTTACCTCAGATAGGGTGCCACATAAAAATTATCAAGGCTGAAACCTTATCTGAGAGGTGATTGTACAAGTCTGCTAAGCATATGTGAAACATACTCTATTATGTATGGCAGATTTGATATTTGAATATATATATATAGACATTATAGCAAGGTCATGTAACTTGTTCAATATACTTGCTCAATTCAGGTCTTGTATGATTATTTTTTTTATATATTGAGGGTATGAAATTGCAGAATTAATGAAAAATTATGAGTGAATAAATTTTAAGATATTGACTGTTCTCTTTACCACAAATTTTACCTCCCACAACTCATTGGTAGTAATGTGTAAAGTGTAAAAATGGAAAAAAAATGAATACCCAGAAAAAATGTGTGCTGATATTGATAAACATGTGTAAAGATATGATGTGTTAGTATAGTATAAAGGTACTCAGTTTTCGAGCTGCTGATACACAGCTCGGAAATGTGATCCACCCTCCCCCTCCTCCCTCATCCCCCAACCCCCCAGAGGACAGTCTGAATGGCAGCAGGTAAGATAAGGACAGGGGACGGATGAAGACTGTTGCTAGGTGTGAGGATGGAGCATCATAGCAGGTTGTAGCACACATTGGGTCATGTTATAGGGTTGCTTTGAGTCATTTTGAGATGGACATTCTTGCCAAAAGAGAAAAAAGAAAAGAAAAGAAAAAAAGTTAGTTTTCTTTTCTAAAAAATTCAGTTCATGACAAGAAATCAAAAAAAGTTTGTGTTTTCTTGTATTATTTTTGTGTTCTACAAATGAGTTTCTCCATAGCAATGAAAACTATATATTGTATCCACACCCACCATCCTACCCAGTGTATGCAAAACCATGTGCTGACAGATACTCCAAAGGTGTACTTTTCTATCTTTTTGCAGTCTTATCTGGGCCAGTGCCTTTTGGATGTGCAGACAAGTAAAAGATTTGCCATAGTGGAAAATCTGAAAGGGTTTGTGAGAGATTTGGTTTGTGTACCCGATAGGATTCTTACATGTTTGTACACAGGATTGATGGTATTGTCTTTGAACTGAGACATCATTCCATTTTTTATTTTTTATTATTTTTTTTAACTTGCGATTATTTTTCTTTTTTTCAATGCAGTAAATGCAAATCATGGGGTCACATTCCTGTTGTAGACTGTGCAATGTAAATCTGAGCTTTTAAGTGAAGCCAAAGTGTGAAGATTTTAGCTAGAATTGAAGATATTTGCCCCTTTCCCTTAAACTTAGATTTATAAATGAAAAGAGTATGCATCCCTGTAGATGTAAAAAAAATCTAAAAAATGTATAAAAAAATGAATAAAAAAATCTGTTTCTATGGTGCTCTCTCGTCATCCAAAGTAACAGTATGTATCATCTTAAAATGAGAAATCCGGAGGTCATGAGACAGCAGACCAATCTGTTCATCTAAGTTCTTTCTACCTTACAAGTGGATTCAGTCAGAGTGGCCACAGTACTGTTGCACTTTTGACAGGTGTTCAGTATTACACAGGTCTAAAGAAAGAAAGAAAAGGTAAAAGAAAAAACAGAGGCATCATGAAGAGGTATAGAGGAAACAGCATCTCTAAATCCCTGCCACCATAATGTTACATAATTTCCCTATCCTGATTATCATAAAGTCATCCTGTTTCGGTAAATGCTGTGCTATATTTACCATATATTCTCTTTTATTTTTGCAAATTGGCAGATTTAGTTAGTTTTAAGCTTTGAGAGTAAAAGGAAAAAGTGCAAGAAAAAAAAAATATTATGTTTATGGGAATCTGTTGAGTGTTAAATTACAAATTTTTCATAGGTCAAATGTTGAATATTGATAAAACAC